GCCATCTGTATCAGCAGAGATGAGCAGGCATGGACTGGTCAGTAAGGAACAGTGTCAGGGCCTCTTTGGATCATGTCTCTGTCTGGCTTCTAATGACATTTGTCCAAAATGATTTCTGAAAACATTAAAACTCCCTGGTCCTGCTCAGCATGCCACCTTGCACCTCAGCCCAGGGAAGGGTTCTGTGTGGAGCCACCAGGCAGACGGGCAGCGTGGTGAATGGGGACCCAGCGGCCTGACTGCCTGTCCTGTTCTTTCCTTGCAGACACAGCTTTGCATTTGTCAAGTCAGTGAAGCCTCTTGTGTCTTAGAACTAGAAATCTTCGTTTAGTGACCAGGCCTCTCACTGTAGAGATGAGGGCAGTAACGTCCAGAGAGGTTAAGGAACTTGTCCAGGGTTGACACAGCACGTCAGTGAAGCTGAGGCTAACATTTCTCCTGGGCCTCAGACCAGTGTTCTTCCTGTGGTCCTGCTGTGGCCTCACTTTGTGGAGAGACGGTTGCTTCTCCTCACCCCTCTCTTAATCCGACAGCTCTATCAGTGAATTCTGTCTACTGTCTCATGACGTTCCTCAGTTCAAAGGAAACCCACCCTATGGTGTAATGGTTTCCATTTGTCCTGCTGTTTGGAAGAATGTCCTACCTGCATGTCAGTGCTGAGTTTTGAGCTCCTTTATAGGAAGGTGTCCTGGTTGTTGGGACTCATCCAGGCAGAACCTGCTGAGCGGGCCAAAGAGGTTTTTTGCATCACTCACTGTCAAATAAGGGCCACCTCGTATTGATTGGCACAGGGCAACTTGAGGTCCAACGTTCTCCCTTACGACACGGAGCTTCATATTAAAGGGTATCAAGGAATTGATGTTGCTCTTCTCCAGGAACAAAAGTATTAAAATTTAGATGGGACTGAATAACCAAGAAACTATAAGTAGATACCTTCCCATCTCTCCAGTCCCAGGAGCTGTGATCTATGAGTAGAAGATAAATCTCATCAAGTCTCCGGGACAAAGAGAGAAAAAACACAGAGCAGCTAGGCATCAGCAGTGGACCGAAATAAATCCTGAGATGGTTGATAATCTGATTATCTGGATCGATTTCTCTCTTTCCTTTTCCACCCCCTTAGGACTGAGCTAAACTTCCCCTTCAATGCAAACAGTATTAAGTGCCTTGTATCTGAAGAGCATGTCAGCAGACACTGGTTGAAAATAAGGTGAATCTTGGATTTGGTGGAGCTTGGGCATCATTAGAGTCAGGAAGACTTGGACAAGAATTTGGGCTTTGCCACTTATTAGCCATTTGTCCTGGGGTAAATCTAACCTTTCTCAGCCTAAATTTCAACATCTTTACTAAGTAACTTTTAAGACTGAGAAATAAATTATATAATTTATTTAAATTAATTATATAATTTATTTATATAAAATTTATTTAAAAATTTATTTATATAATTTATTTAAAAGGACAGCGTTGATCATATGTAGGTGTTCTGAAAATGTTTGCCATTATAACGTATATAAACCCCTGGGAGCCCACTTTGGGTTTTTTGGTAGGTCGGTACTCTTAGCATTTCACCAGAAACCATGACCAAAAAAAATTCAGAAGTAGTATTATTAGCTGATGTTGCAGAGGACCATGATCCAGAATCAAACTCAGCTATTACAGATTTTCATAACACAACAACAGAATGGGCTACAGAAGAGTATAGGACCTAAGAATTTTTAAGTAAATGGTGGATGGTATAATTGGAATTTCTGCATCCTTAAACAGCACTGGATTTTAGGATGCCCCACCTCAAGGACTCATTGATTCTTATTACTAAGTATTTGTGTGGCTTCAGCAATTTCTGATCCGTGCATTTACTTTAGAGCCCCATTGTATCAGTAAGCTATAGCCATAATTTTTCTGCAGAGCAAACCACCCAAACTCAGGGGATTACAACAATAAGCTCCTGAGTGTGCACATCAACTGAGGTTTGACCTATCCAGCTGTAGGTTGGGTCCCTTCTGCTCCAGATGTCTCTCACCTTCCTTGGAACAAAAACTATCTGATACAGGAGGGCAAGAGAAGACAGTGAGCATGACCATGCAAGTACATTGAAAGCCTCTGCTCACATCATGTTCAGTATCCTCCCATTAGCCAGGCAAGTCACATGGCCAAGCCCAAAAGTCAAGGGGCAGACTCTCTGCCCACTGTGAGGCCAGGGCATAGAATTGGGTAATTATTAATACTATGGAGGAGTCGAGAATTGGGGACCAATGAACATTCTTCAACACCTCTGGTGTTGTAAACTATTGCTGCAATGTAATTCCCTTTCTGGTCACTTAAGGTGGTTGTCCTTTTGATCTGGCTGTAACCTCTGATAAATAATACACCTCTTGGCACATTGTGACCTACATGAGAAGATAGGTCTTCTTTAATAAATACGTCCTTTTAAAATTTGGTGGTATGATGAAATGACTACACAGAGCATAGAAGAAAAGAATTGTGGAGCATTCCTCAGCACAGCCAGTCCTTAAATCCAGCCCACATCAGCAGAGACTGGAAATTACTGTCATCTAATGGCAAGTCAGGAATCTAACTGAATTGAAATATTGGCTTCCCTCCAATTCCCAATGATTTTGAGTCCATTCTATAAAAAGCATCAATGTAACTGATATATGTGGTTTCAGATAGCACATCAGATCAAAAGCATAGATTACTTTGAAAATATGACCATTTTTTTTCTAGGAATAACTCTCCTTGACTATCAGTAAGGAATACTCAGACTACTCTAAATCATTGGGTTAAGTTTAGGAGCAGTAAGGCAGGGCACTAGCTGAGATGATTAGCATGAACGTGGATGAAAAGTCTTCTTATCCTGTCTTTTAACAGAATGCAGGTCTTCAGAGAATAACCTTTATTCTTAGCATGATATATCCATCCACTCCCTAAAGGGCCAGGAGCTTAAGATTCTTTCTCATTATCACTACTTCTCAGGAAAACCCAGAAATAGCCAGAGGAAAGTGGTCTTCCTGCTTGGCTGCTTTTCTGGGAATCTCACTGAGTGGCAGCACAGCCCAGGAGTTAGAAACCTGAGCTCTGAGGTCTGTGGCTGTGTTTAAACTCAACTGGGTAGCTGTGTGACTTTGAGAAGGTTGTTTAACTTCTGTGGTGGTCATTGGTGCTGCTCACAGATGGTCAGTTCCCCTTTCCTGCTGGCACCCAGAAAACTGGACCCCCTGGCTCCTTCATGGTAGGGTGGTGCCATATAACTAGTTCTGGCTAAAGAATTGTGAGCAAAGGTGTTATATATAACTTCTTGGCCATAACATTTAATAATCAATGCAAGATTCTCCAGAATTCTCTCTTGTCCCTCTAGCACAATGATAAGCAACATTCAAGATGGTGGCTGTTCCATCAGCCTGGGTCTCAGAGTAACTACAATGAGCAGAGTCCCCCTGGTGACCTGTGATAGACTTGAAGCCTGAGAGAGAAATGAACTTGGTTGTACTCAGCCATTGTGATTTTGAGGGTTATTTGTTAGAAAAACTTAACCTGATTTACCCTGGTTTGATATTTGAAAAATGAGGATAACAGTGGAATCTAGCTTGTGAAGTAATCATGAAGATTAAATAGGATAATATGTGTATATACTTAGAATAATACCTAGCACATAGTAAATTCTTAATATATTTTAGCTATTGTATATAATTATTAAGTTATTCTGTATCCTAACCTAGTCTCTAATGACTTATTCATATCTATCAAACAAGTTGCCATGTGACTTTGAGAAATTCAACCTCAAATTGCAATACAAGTATGTTAGACTAGATGGGCTAGAGTTTTAAATCTCTAGACTTAGGGGTGCCTGGGTGGCTCAGTCGTTAAGCGTCTGCCTTAGGCTCAGGTCATGATCCCAGGGTCCTGGGATCGAGCCCCGCATCGGGCCCCCTGCTCGGCGGGAAGCCTGCTTCTCCCTCTCCCGCTCTCCCTGCTTGTGTTCCCTCTCTCACTGTGTCTCTCTCTGTCAAATAGATAAATAAAATCTTAAAAAAAAAATAAAAAATAAATCTCTAGACTCAAAGTTATGTGCATCTTTTATGGAAGTACTCAGAAGATCATCCTTGTGTTTCACAGATATTCTGTTGCTTAGGGCAACAAGATGTATGATAAAACTAAACATCATCTTCTCCCCTTTTCCAGTTGCTCCTTACCCTCAACTCCCCAAACAATAAGATCTATGTCCTTGTCACAGATTGTTCTGTATCCTATTCTGAAGCTTTCTGCCCAGGAAATTACATCTGGCTTGTAAATTCTTAGCTACAAATTGGTTTCCCAATATATGCACCTACATCCTTAGTAATCCATCTTCTCTCTCAGTTCTGTGTTCAACATATATACATAATATCTTGTTTTATTAACAAAATCTCACTGGCTTCAAGCCACAGCCCACCATAGACTTTCTTTTGGCAGTGTGGTCTTCTTTAGCCCAAAAGGAGAAGATTCTGTCCTTTTCCACTTTAATCCTGGCATAAGGTGACCACCCTCACACCATCACAACCAACCACTGAAACCTGTCCTCTAGTTTCTCTGGATTAGAACTTTCCATGTCTTAATTTACAGTATTTATTCTTCTCCTGTATGATTCTGCCTGGATCCTGCACTGGTCCCAAAGGCCAGATGGTTCATATTGTTCAGCCCATATATAAACCAAATTTGGGAAAAAGGAGAAATTTCATTGCATATTGAATTACAAGTTGGATTTCATTAGGAATCCTAATATTTCTCCTTCCTTACCTTCTTGATCTAGGAGTCTGTTCTTGTAGACCATGCTTTATGCTCTTATATATAACCTCATGGCCTCCCCACCCACCCCCAGTGCTTGGTTTATTGCAGATCCTGCTACTACATTTATTGGCTGTCTAGGTGGAGGCTTTTTTTTATATCTGTTGTTCATACATGTTCATTTTGCTATTAATAAACTATTACTTTATGGGAGGAAATGACACTTCTTTATCCTCTTTCAGATTGAAGACATAATTACAAAGATGCAAGATGACAAGACAGGTGGTGTGCCCATCAGAACAGTCAAGAGCTTTCTCTCCAAAATTCCCAGTGTTGTCACAGGTAAACACTCTCCTTACAACTGTTGGTGGCAATAGGAAAGGCTGCTGAAGAGTTGTATAGTCTTGATTGTGCCCTGGGGTGTGTCTGAGAATTTGTGACTAGAAAAGATGATACATTGAATGTGCTTCTTAAACAAAGTCGAGCTCTGGTCATGGTTTCCAGAAGCTACTCTTTGCCAGTGATTCAGAATTGTCTTACCATGACCAGCCCTTCTGTGTACAGGGTGAGGCTTCTGGAAAGAAACAAGCTCATTAATGAACTGGATAGCCCATCAGCAATTTGGCCTATGAGATTTACACAAGTGCAGATATATTAAAGAAAGTATTTTAGTTTTAAACAAGCTTTAAGAAAGTCTTGTGTTCAAATTCTGCAAAATGCTTTTATTTTAAGTTTTTAACTCACTATACTTGAACTCTTGAAAGAAGTGGTTTTAGAATATTTTTCGGCATTACTTTGAGGATTTTGTGTGTTTTGTATGCTCAGACATTTTAAAAATTAATTATGAAGTGTATCAAACACATGGTTATAGTTTCAAATATAATACTAAAACAGACCACCTGTGCCCAACATCCTGCTTCCTAAATAATGTGTCATCAGTATCTTAGAGCCCCTCGTGAGCCTAATGGTTGACATCTGCCTCCCTTTCCACCACAAGTAACCACTATATACTTTTATCCTTATCAATTTGTTGCTTTTCTTCATAATTTTACCACGTGGGCATGCATCCCTTATATCTAAACAGATAACCAAATAAATTAAGATAAAATTTTAGGTAGTTCTCTCATTATCAAAATATAGCTATTTGCTTTCCAAATTATAGAATAATTAAAATAAAAAATACTGACAATACCAAGTGTTGGTGAGGCTATTGAGCAACTGGAACTCTCACACACTGCTGGTGGGAAGGTAAAAATGCAACTACTCTGGAAGTTTCTTATAATGTTAGACAAATGCTTACCATATGATCCAGGAATCCCACTCCTTGGCATTTATCCGAGAGAAATGAAAATGTGCATTCAGAGGAAAACTCGTGAGTATTTATAACAACTTTATTTTTAATCACCAAAGCCTGGACACAGCCCAAATGCCCTTTAATGTGTGAATGAATAAACAAACTGTGGTAGACCCATATTCATTAATAAAAAGGAGTGAACTATTGATACAGGCACCAACTTAGATGAACCTCAAAGTTATTTTTCTGAGTGAAAGAAGCCAGTCTCACAAGATTGCATGCTATATGATTCCATTTATATGATACTCTAAACAAGCCCAAAACTATAGTGATGGAGACAGATCAGTGGTTGCCAAGATTGAGAGCTGAGGAAGCATATGACTATAAAGGGATCACACGAAGGAATTTTATAAGGTTACAGTGGAACTATTCTGTGTCCTGATTGTGGTGGTGGTGGTAACATTAATTTATATGTAGGTCAAAATTCATAGAACAGCACACCAAAAAAAAAAAAAGAGTCAATATTAGTATATCACCTTAAAAAATAAATACATTCAACTGAGGTACCCATAAGTTTCCTAACTCATTATTCAGACTGTCACTATTTGAACTCAGGTACCAAATAGATGTGGATAATGAGGGATGATTGTATTGTTAGTATGCTCTAATTTTGAAATTTATATAAATGGAATTATAATATTGGCTATGATATATTTTTCATACATTTCTGGATTTTGCTTGATAAAATGTTGTTTAGCATTTTTAAATCTATTTTCCTGGCAAGATTAGTTTGTTGTTTTTCTTACTTACCCTCCTTGCTGGTTTGGGTATCAAATTTATGCTAGACTCCTAAGATGAACCATGAATATTTCTTTTGTTGATATTGTGTTGTTCTCTGAAAAATGTTTTTCTCTTTAATCTAGATTTTAGGTGTTTCTTTTCAGTTATTTTATTTTTTTATTTCTAGAAGTTCCATCTGGTTCTTTTTCCAGTATATTTGGTCATTCATTCGACACATATTTATTAGGTGCTTACTATGTTCTAAACAGTGCTGGGCAGTGGGGATTCAGAAATAAATGAAACAAATAAAAATTTCTGTTCATGGAATTTTAGATTATAATGGAGGAGACAATAGAATAAATAAGGAAAATTTGCAGAATTTCAGGTAGTGATAAAAGCCAAAGAGAAAAATAAAAGTGTGAAAGGGGGATAGTAGTGTTGCAACTTTGGAACTGGTGGCCAAAAAGTACTCTGAGAAGGTAACATTTGAGTAAAGATGGAAGGAAGATGAAAGATTGAGTCATGTGGATATTGAGGGAAAGAGCATTCCAGAAAGCAAGTGCTAAGTCTCCAAGGCAGGCATGTTCTGGCATACAAAAGTCAGTGAAAGAAACAAGGAGCAGCTGGAGATGAAGAGGAAAATCAGGAGGACGTGGCTTCTTAGAAGCCAGATTCTCTAGAAAGTGTTTCTAGGAAGAATAGAGTGATCTACTGTGTCAAAAGCTGCTGATAATCAAGTAAGATAAGCACTGAGAATCAACCTTTGAACTTAGCAACAATTGAATTCAACTGCTGACCTTGATAAGTGCACATTCCATGAAGCATTTGGGAAAGGGGATAGCAAAAAGCCTTATTGGAGTGGGTTCAAGTCAAAATGGGAGGAGAGTGATTTGAGGTAGTGAGTATAATTAATCTTTGAAGGAGTTTTCCTTAAAGGGAAGAAATGCAGTAGAATATAGAGGGGTAAATGGAGTCAGAACATGTAGGTTTTTAAGTAATATGAAAGTGACAGTATGCTTATATGATGACGGCAATGACTCACTAGGGAGGGGAAAATGCTGCAGGAGATAGAGGAAAAATTTGAGAAGCGATATCGTTGAGTAGGTAAGAGATTGAATCTAATGCACGTGAGTTGGGTTGTTCTAGCTAGAAACACGTACAATTTATTCATAGGAAGACGAGTAGATGCACAGAGTTGCGAATAAGCATGGTGGAGTGGTGGGAGCTTGTAGGAATCTCCTAATTGTTTCTATTTTCTTAGTAATATGGAAAGGAAAGAAGGTGGAAATGTTAGGTTTGAGAAGAGATTAGAAGCTGTGAAATAGTCATCTAGGGGTGTAAAGAGGTTGTCTGGACTAAGGAAATAGAGTTTGACTGTGAGGTAGCATTAAGGACCCTCTTGAGATTATTAATATTCATGAATTTAAAGAGAGGCAATTCTTCCTCCAGCCACATTTAGCTCTCTGGATTTGGACATGTGTCAGGTAGAAAGCTGGACTTAATTAAGGCCATAGCAAGTATGAGAGTATAATAAATCAAGAGAGGCAAGTGAGTAACTGAAGTGATTGACCATTAAATTTTAACTGAGTAAGGATGGAAGTGAAACATGAGATAGGTGAGGAATAGTGGAGAGTAGTGATGACCATAAACTTTACAGTCTGGTGGAAAAGGAGTTTTGGGGGCCAAAGTAAGCTAGAAATGTAGGGAGTGGTGATTGGATAGTGGAATGTTTGAAATTGGGATTATGGAGGGATTGCAGTTTATTGGTGGTCACAAGATATGAGGTATGACCATGGGAATAAATGACTGAGATAGGATGGAGGTAGAAGAGAGGAGGTCAAGGAACTAAGGGGCCATGATTTGGGAAGACTGAACTATGTGGATATTGAAATCACTACAGGGGGGTAGTTAGAGAGGGTGATTGTGAGTCTGTGGTTAAAATCTTCATGGAATGAGAGAGAGCCCTAGGCATCAGTAGATGACTTTCACAACAAGAGGTATAGGTGGTTTAATCTGATGTTATGAGAGTCAAAGCTAATCGTTTTTGGTAGAAGAGGCAGGGAATGAAGACAGTCTACAAGAAGACATGAGAAGCTAGGGTGTCACTTACCTGCCTTCAAACCTATGGTGTGTAAGGCATGGGAGGGAAAATAGCCACTGCCTCAGAGAGCTGCAGGAAACCAGGGCCGTTGAGAAAGAACAAGAAGATGAAGGGAATATTAACTGAAAAAGATGAGGATATGAACAATTTTACGTGTGATTGACCATGAGTTCCAGAAGGCAAGTGAAAGCCTTTCAGGAAATGGTATATATATAACCTGGGTAATAAATGTCCACGGTTGCTATGTACCACACTAGAGTAGTCACAGGAGATGTAAAGATAAATAAAAACCTAGTCTCTGCTTTTCAAAAACTGTTAATCTAATGAGAGAAACAGACACAGGTACACCAATGATTATATGAGCTATGTGTTATGATAGAAAAAATGAACAAAGCCCAGAAGAAAGAATCATGAGTTTTTCTTGAGTAGGTCTGGAACATTTCTCTGAGGTTGTATATCAGTTTTCTATTACTGCATAACCAGCCACCGTAAATCATAATGATTTTTTATTTCTTGTGATCATGATTCCATGAATTGGTAATCCAGGTAGTTCTTCTGCTGGTCTTACCCATGAGGCCCTAGTCATCTGATGGTTCAGGGGAGACTAGAGGTCTATGATGGGCTTACTCATTTGTTTGACAGTGGTGCTTACTCTTAGATGGGGCTTCAGTTCTCCTCTGTGTCACCTTGTATCACCCAGCAAATTAGACTGGGACTGAGACTGATGATCTCAGAGTTCTAAGGGGGAAAGGGAGAAAACTACAAGGCTTCTTAAGGCCTAAACTCCGGAACTCATGTAATGTTAAGTACATGTAGTCTGTTCTTCAAAGCAAATCACAAGACCAGCCTAGATTGAAGAGGATAGAGAAACCAACTTCTGGTGTAGGAATAGAATGTCACATTGACATAAGGAGACGTGATTCTTTAGGGGCCATTATTATAATGATCTACCACATGAAATAATTTTAGAACTGGATCTTAAACATAAGTTGAAAACTGGGGAAGGTCATTCCAGGCAGAGAAAAATAGAATTTTCATGGGCCGAAATGCATGAAAAGTATGACAGATTGCAGCAGAGATGAGCTCGTTTATGTGGTTATAATTTAAAATGCATGTATGTGTGCATGTATTTGAAGAGAGGAGTACATGGGCAGATTTGAAGAGAGG